GCAGCATTGCACAAGCAGGTGTGCCTGAAAAACAGGTGTGGTGCATTGCCAAATGGGAGGCTCACAAACCCAGTAAGTGGCCAAGGCAGATTTCCACTACTCAGCAGGTGAAGAGAGAGCTTCAGAAGAGAAAGGTGCCAAGGTCACAGAACCAGGTCATGCTCAAGGAGACCTGGAACCTCAGGTTGCCCAGGATTGGCCTCCATTGGCAATGCTCCACCTTCCACATAGAGCTGTTAGGACAGGCCATTCCAGCTGAACAAGACTTGCTCACTCCAGAGATATGTATGCTCTAGAGCCCTTCCGCTGAACACAGCAGGCCGCCGCCCTCCTGTCTTTCTCCAGTCTCTGCATGGCTCGAATCTCTTGGCTCTTCTCAGCTCAGTAGTGGGTCCAGACAGCAAAACTAAGGTGCCCAAGCGCTAGGTCTACTTTTGTTTCTCCATCCCTAATAAAGCGCAACCACTTATACTTTGGCTTTCCTCCTCCGTGACATGATGCAGTTCCCTATGAGGGATCGGGAGATACACAGTTAAAACTGATGAATGCTCACCCTGAATAATGTGTCAGCTTCACTCCTCCAAGTCAGTGCTCAGCTGGTCCTGCTCCCTGTTTTGAGACTGCTGTCTTCTTGCTGTATGTTATCTCCCTCAGGAGTCGTCTGGTTTCTGTCATGCAGGTTGAACTAGGGTGCCCTGTGTGACAACGCAGAGTCTCCTGTAGACTAGGCTTTCCAGGACGTTTGGACCTTGGACTCTTCCTCACTCATCCTGAGGCTGGGCTCTTCCTCCCCTTGTCAGAAGGAGACCAACATTTCACTAGAGAAAATAGAGCCAGTTAGTGAATTTGAAGAAACTGACTTTAGCAATATTTTCAAGTCAAAACATTTGGATGTTATTTGTACTGATTTTAAATTTGAATGTAATACATTTAATAAATCTTTTAGCCTTCTAGAATTTGTTTTGATGGTTCCTTTTTATTTTTTATTTGCTTTGTTTTGCCTGCATATATGTTTATGTGCGGGTGTGTCAGATCCCCTGGAACTGGAATTACAATCTGTGAGCTGCCGTGTGGTTGCTGGGAAGTCAACCAAGGTCCCCTGGAAGAGCATCCAGAGCTCTTCATCTCTGAGCCATCGTTCCAGCACCCATTTAACAATTTTTAATGCAAAACTTACTGTAAGTTGCTGTCCATAATGGGATGAAGCCACCTCTCATTGCTTTGGAATATCAGGAAGGGATCTCCAGAAAACTTAGCTTTCTAATTTTTTTTCAGGTTGTGACAGCATATAGTTTATTCAAAAATTTCCATTCTGACTGAAAAAACATATTTATGTGTGCTTGTGCAGTTGGGGGACATGTGCATCTTGGCACCCCTATGTAGATCAGAGGACAACTTTCAGGAATCAGTTTTCTTCCATCGCTTGGGTTATAGGGAGCCAACTTGGTTTTCAGGCTAGGTAGCAAGTGCCTTTACCCACTGAGCATCTCTCCAGCCACATTTTTACTGTTTCTGTTTGTTGTTTTTTGAGACAGGGTCTTTTCAATGGCCTGGAACTCACTATAGATCTGTCTGCTGGTGCTCATTTTAACTGGTTTTCAGCCATACAGTTAGACAGTTTTGAAGCGTAGAGTTTACTGGCACTAAGCTCATTCACACTACTGTGGAAACATCACCATCTTCCACTTCTGATTGAGCTTGAAAGATTTTTTTATTTATTTCATGTATATGGGTATACTGTCACTGTCTTCAGACACACCAGAAGAGGGCATTGGATGTCCATTACAGATGGTTGTGAGCCACCATGTGGTTGCTGGGAATTGAACTCAGGACCTCTGGAAGCGCAATCAGTGCTCTTGACCTCTGAGCCATCTCTGCAGCCCACCACCTTCCATTTCTGAATCTTTTTCATCTTCCAAAACTGAAACTCCATGTCCGCTCAAATAGTAACTCCCACCAGATGTGGTGGCTCATGTTTTAGAATCAGTTCCTCAGGAGGCTGAGACAGGAGGATGGCTAGTATAAGGCCCATCAGATTGGCCTGCCAACATGTGAGACTCAAAAATAATAATTTTTACAAGGATTGGGTATGTAGCTCTGAGATGGAAAAGACAGAGTTCCAACCCAGTTCCCACTCATCCCTCCAAAAACACCTTCAAGCGCCTGGTAACTTCCACTCCACATTTGAATACTCTAACACATCATGTTAAGTGAAATAATATTTGGGTTTTTTAATGTCTGGCTTATCATTTAGCATAATGACTTCAAGCTTCATCCATGATGTGGCGTGAGTTAAGAACTTCCCTTATTAATTTTGAACTTTTTTTTTTCAGACAGGGTCTCTATGTAGTCCAGTTGGTGTCATGGTTACTATGTCGCTTTGGCTGGTCTAGAACTCTCCTACTGCCTCAGGAGCCAGGAGCCCAAGTTCTGGGATTACAATGTGCACAACCATTATTGGACAACATTTCCTCCCTTTTTAAGGGTGGGCAATATTTCACGGTCTGTATTTTCTGTATCTATCAGTCTTTATTTAATCCAACATTTATCATGGTAGATACATGAGCTATGGTTACTGTGAATGATGTTGCTACAGGCAGGGCTATATTATACAGATATGTGTTTGGGTTCCCTGCCTGTGATCCTGTGGCACATACTAAGTGGGATTGCTGGATCGTGTTGTAAGTCCACGTTTACCTCTTTGAGGAACCACTGTACTGTTCCATAGCAGCAGAACCGTTACATTTTCCCATCACCAAAGCTCAATATTTCTAATTTCTCTACATCCTTGCCAAGACATGTCATTCTCTCTAGTGTTGTTCATATTAAGCATACCGGTGGGTGGGCTAAGCTTTTGATCTGACTCTAGGAAGATGAGTAGGTGTTGGGAGGGAAGGGAGGAAGCGAGTGGGCATGCATATTGGAGAAGCTGGGAAAATTGAAAAGGCCAGCGGTTTCTCTGCAACTTAGGGTAGCTGAGGGCCAGAGCTGCCCATACCTGGAGCTCACAGAGAGTGGGAAAGAGGCTGTAAGACATAAGACCTAAAGGTAGCGGCAAAAGCCCCCTGTCAGTCTCCATCCTGGCTGAGAAGCTTGACTTAAGTTCATTGACAATGGAGTCTGGGTAGGAGCCCTCGATGGTTCGTGTGACCCCACGTTTGACCAGATATGGTCAGGACCATTTATTCTGTGCGAGCCTTAGATTTCTTTCATGCAATAATTAGAGTGGGGATGGAGGGGTTGTGGTAGGATCTGTGGATGAGAATGAATTAGTTGGCCAGACAAAGAAGTTCTACGACAGGGAGGAGCTGGACTGTTCATGGCAGGTGGCCTCAGTACAGAGCTGACTCACCCTGGCCTGCTATGGCTTCTCTTGCAGCCAGGACTCTGGCCCATGGACTTTGGCTTGTGTCTTCCACCATTCTTTAGCTGTCCTGCAGCCAAGGGGATCACTGTAGAAGAGAAGACACAGGCAGCTACAGGCGGGTCTGTGCCAGTTCCCCAAGAGTACCTAAGGAGGCCCAGGCTGACAGAAGGACCTCCTGCTTAGGGGAAGGACAGCCACGACTCCTGACACTTCAGTATAGTTCTCCAAGGAAACTCCAAACACATGCCCTGTCCCAGGTGGGGAAATGGAGGCCTCATGAGCATACTGTGTGTGGGGTCACTAGCTAGGACACAGTGAAACCAAGTGTCAAATGTATGGGTTCCTGACAAATTGTACTATATTCCTTTATTCACTTATTTATCATCCAACAAACATTCGCTGCAAATACTGCGTCAGGAACAAACCAGAGTCTCTTCTGTGGGCCTCCAAGAGGTCCTTCCCAAGGCCCAGGAATTGTCTACTGTAGGCTGTTTAATCCTCCCAGGAGCCTGGGAGATAGAGTATTGCTTCATTTCCCAGGTAAGCATGCGGGTCTTTCGACCCTGGTGGTGGGGAGGGATGGAGGCCACAGCTGATGCCACTGACCCCCAGCTCAGTGGTGTACTGTGGGCGCTCTATCAGCTGTGGCTATGTGACTGCCAGCCTGGAGCCAGAGGTCCAGCTCTCCATTTAATACCAACCGTGGTGTGTGTAGGCTGTAACAGGCTGCTGTGCCTCTGGTGTGCTTTGCCACTGGTTGGATGCAGGACTGAACATATCTTCCCTGGACCGACAGTTATCTTGTGTCACAGGAGTGGGGTGTAGACAGTTGTCTGTTCCATCTCTGCTGAAAGCCCTTGGAGGGCTCTGAGGTAATGAAGGAGACATCAGCACAGCCAGAGGATGCTATCTGTAGGGGAAGGGAAGAGGTTTGGGGCACACTCTCCCTTTTTTCTTCACCTAGCAAGTGCTTCCTTCTTTGGGATTCTTCCCTGAAGTACCTGTCCACAGGTCAGGTCTCACCCCATCCCCCACCTGCTAACCTGGCCTAGTGGTTGTCAGTGGATAGGGACCACATTTGGGTTGCAGACGTTCTTCGGTGTCTGCTCAGAGTGGATGTCTGAGGTTCTGATGCCACTACATCCCCTCTGATGTCCCTAAGTCCCTTCACCCATCTCCACTTGCCCTCTACAGACCATCTTCCTTGCCCTCCCCTGAGTCCCATCCAGTAGAGAAGGACCAGGATTCCCAAGTCTGCTCTCCCCTCCCGGTTCCCTCGACACAAGGTGAACATGAAGGCAATTTCTGAGTCTGGACTCTCCCTGGTATAAGCAGAAATAAACAGATTCTCAGCAAGTGACAAGAGAGCTCTCATTAAACCCCAGGGGGATCCTAAGGTCTTCAGGAGCCCGGGCGGGAAGGGTCTCAGGCAAGGCAGCATTGGGAAGATAAAATGAATGAAAACGTCAGGGAGCAGCCAGCACGCTGGAAAGCTCCCACGTGGCACGAAGCAGGTCTGTACTTGCTGAATCATAACGCCCGGGCTGCGGGTTGCCTTGGCAGCGCGCGGTGTCAAGGGGGTGCTGTGCGGGGGTGGGGAGTGGAGGGGGGGGCAAGCTGGAAGCTAGGCTCCATGAGACCACGCACCCACGGCGCCTCCCGGCGCAACATCATGTCCACCATCCCCAAGTGGTTCAAAGGGGCGCCCTTTGGGGTGCAGAGCCACAGGTGGGGCCCAACTGCTTCCTGGCCTGTCACCCAGTATCCAAGGGAGCTCCTGTGGGCCCCACCAGCGCCTCTGCCTCCGGAATGAAGGCTAACCCAGAGGGCTGGAGCCGGGGGAGGAAAGGAAGGGGGCTGGCTCACCCCTCCCCCACCACTCACTTCCTCCTCCCCCCTCCTCTTCTTTTCTCCTCCTCTTTTTCTTTTCCTCCTCTTCCTCCTCCCTCTCCTCTCTTCCTATGTAGCCCTGGCTGTCTTTGAACTCACAGAGATCTGCCTACACCGTTGCTAGGATTAAAGCCTCTAAATTCTTTTGCTTTCTGTACCATTTCTGTAGTAAGTTCTTGGAAACTATTCCCAAACCATCCAATGTAAAGCATTCATAGAGGCCACATGGCCTGCCCATCGCATGAAATTTAGCTAAAAAGTTTTGAGTAGGTTTGCAGCCCTGGATGTCTTATTTCTGTTTTCCTTTCTCCCTTTTCTCTTTTCTTTATTTTTCTTTTACTCTTTCCTTCCTTCCTCCCTCCCTTCCTTCTTTCTTTGTTCCTTCCTTCCTTCCTTCCTTTCCTTCTTTCTCTTTATTTTTTGAGACGGTCTCTCTACATAACCCTGGCTGTCTTGGAACTCACTATGTAGACTAGGATGACTTCAAAGTCATAGAGACTCACCTGTCTCTGCCTTCCAAGTGCTGGGATTAAAGGTGTGCACCATTAAGCCCAACTCTCATATTTCTTTTTATGTTCTATTGTGTAATACAGTTGCATATAAATGTCCTACTATGTGCCACACATGGTTCTAGGATCTGAGGTGGTGTGGTGGTCTGGATAATAGCCCTATATATATAATTAAATGTATATGAAAGATGATATGAAGTATCCACCATGTAGTATAACATCTGTCTGTGCACTTAGAGGTGGGAAGGATAATGGGCAGAACTTTGAAGAAAAATGAAGCTGTGGGGAGAAGCAGAGCATAGGGTGTGGCAACAGAGCATCTCAGGAACTCTCAAGATGATGAAGCAGACTTTCATGGGTCAGCTCCAAAGTCATCTGTCCTGGGAAACCAACTGCCTGTCTACCAGGGCTGCCCCAGTCAGGACCAGATGGGCCCTCACTAATACCTCTCTTAGGTTTGATGTCTCCGCTGTTTATCCCAACCAGAAGAAATTCAGCACCTTCACAGAGGTCCCATACTCCAGGCATCATTCTGTAGAACAGGTGAGCCCGCTTCCTCTCACGTGGTCTGTGTCCCTCTCCCAATACACCTGCACATGCTCCAACCCAAGCTTGGCTCATACTTGGCTTTCGATATGTTTGATAAACTCAGGACTATGCTACACACCTAGGAGAGTAAGGGCCGCAGGCTCCCTCTTCCACAGCTCATGCACCGGCCTGGCTCTTTCTGTATTTCTCTGAAGTGAAACAAGGCCCAGTCACAGAGGTGATCAGGACTCCATCTTGAGTGCTGAGCCCCTGGGTATCAGGCTGGGGAACTGTCTAGTTCCATTCCTAGGCCAGGGGCGACTTGCACATGCAGAGGGGTGGGGTAGGTGGTTATGACTGACTCAGCTCAGAGCCTGCTCTAACTTAGTCCCACATAGGACCTGGGACCTATAACTCCAAGGATACCTGCTTCAGCAAGAAGTTTCTGGAACAGAAATTGGGCTCAGGATGGGCCCGGGCCCAAGAAGCTACTCGGCTGACCCAGCTACCTCACTTCCAGTACCAAGCCATCAAGAAGGAAAAAGAGCAGCAGGTGAACTTCGGGCCATACCCTTCCCTACCTCCAGGAGTGAGACTTTCTGTCCACGTGGGCATCCCTCCAGAGTCCTAGTGGATATAGCTTCCTCTTGGAGAACACCATCACCCTTTGGGCTTGGACCTTCCCAGTTTCCCTTTTCATCCTGTGTTCTTTTCTTCTGGGCCAGGTGCACAAGCGGGGGCCTGGCTCCTACAACATCAAAGACTTCTTAACTGAGCTGCAGAAGAAACCACAGAGCAAACGGGGGTTGCTTAGCTCTGGGGAGACCCGCTTCCGAGGTCTCATCGGGGTATGTGATCTCGTCTCTTCCACCCTCCGTCCTTTGTGGGATTGTGGGAAGGCTGTTGACTCTTAGATAGTTTGAGAAGCACCCTTCTCTGAACCCATCTTCCCTCTAGGCTTGGCCAGGCCTTCCTGGCTTTCTTGTTGACTCTTCTGATCTCTTGTGTCTCAGCCTTGAGTCCAGTGACTGAGAAGGGTTGAGTGTGGTTCATCTCTATGTCTCAGAAGAAACCTAGAGTATATTAGAAACCCAACAAATGCATTCGTTTAGCTGGCCAACCAGGAAACAATGGTTAAGGAGCAACAGAAAGCTATGTACTGAACTAGGCTTTGGGAGAGCAGGGTGTCTGGCAGTGACAAACATAAGAGCAGACATCTTAGTGACACACACCACAGCATGAAGAAGGAAATACATATCCTTCTTTATGGAGTTTTGAGGGAGGGGAAATGACACAGGGAAGGAGAGTGCTGCAGGGGTGATTTACAGAGAGCGTTCTGGGAAGGCCTCACTGGAACAGAATCTGCAGGGGGCTCATGATACCTGATCCATGCACTGGCTTTCTGAGACATGGAAAGAAGCGAGATCCAGTCTCATTCTTTGGAGGACAGATAGATCTGATCCTCACAGTGGCCTGATTTTCCTAACACTGGCCCCACCCCCTCTGCCAGGTCTGGCTCCCCAAGGGTCTGGTTGCAGGGCCCAGAGATGAGGTGGATTGTGTCACCTATGGGACAGCAGTGCCACCATGTGGCTAAAAGGGGCATATCAGCCTCAGAAATCCAGCCAAGTCTCACTGAGACACCACCCACCTCCCTGCACCACAGGTTAGCTCTGGCCACTGTACTTCGAAGACCAATTTTGTGTTCAGGCTCCTAGCCACAGTTCTTCTGACCTCAAGACTTTCTGTCACCTTACCCCGACTTGTGTGATGGGACCTACTATGTGCCGGGCCCTGGGCAGAGGGTTTTGCAGACATTCAACCCTATCACTATTTCTTGAAGGAAAGTATTACCATCTCTGTGTTAGTCCCATGGACCATGAAGCTCAGAGGCCTGAGTTCACCCAGCAAGGAAGTAGCAGAGTCAGGGTCCCAACCTAGGATTCCGGTGCTCATTCTTCCCAGCCTGTTCACAGCATAGTGAGGAAGTTGGTCAGAGTTGTAGTTGTAAAGGACAGCTCTACAGAGGCTGTGGAACAGCCAGGGAAGAAGGTGGGTCTCAGGAGAGATGGTGTCTGGGAATCTTAGTGGGGTTGGTATGACTGACAAACCGTAGTGTCGGAGAGGGATTCTGAGGGATGGAAGAAAGCAGCGTAAGCAAGCATGATCAGGGAGATCAGGCTGAATACAAGGTGCTGAGTCAGAGGTGCTGAGTCAGCATCGTAGCTGGACTTGGAGTTGAGGGAGTGAACATAGGAGGAGACTCACGGGAGATGCTGTGTGGTGGGATGGATAACCCATGCTCGATCCAGAAACCTTGTTTCCCTTCATGAGATCTGAAACCCCAGACATCTCTTTCTTAGATGAACCAGCACAAAGACCAGGACTGACAGTCTTTGTGTTTCTGTCTCCTGCCCTGCAGAACTATTATCCAGGCCCTGGAAATTATGGGATAAAGGGGAATCCATACACACAGCTGGAGGAGAAGGCCTGGAACCGCTCACATTCTGACGGCCTCATGTGTAGAGTGTCCAACAAGCCACCACCCTTGTCTCATCAGGTACCCCCTTCCCCAGCCTCATCTTGTCTGGTCCTACAGGGTGACCTCAGGGGTAGGGAGGCCGAAGCCCCGCCTTGGCCACTCCCCTTCAGGCACCCTCGCCACTTCTGTCTCTAGGGCAGTGGCCTGGGACCTGGGACCTACACCATCAAGAGCGATATTGAGACCTTCGTGAAAAAATCCACGGGTACTCGTGGTCCCTATGACATTTTCTCTGGTGAACGGAGCAATCCTGTGCCCTACGGACATTACTCTGTGCAGGTATGTGCCTGGGTTGGTGTCTATGAGGTCTAACCCCTGGCAGGCTAATCACTGATTAGCCACGGGAATGTGGCCGTGTGTGTGTCAAGTGCTGCTGAAGAGGGGCTCTACACTGTGCCCCTGCCAGGGTGGGATTGGCTCCCTGTGTCAGGCAAGGAACCTGAGGTTGGCCACGCAGATGGTGATGGGTCACAGCCACAATTTGGACTTCTGACTCTGTGGCTAGTTCTCTCAGCAATAACATGAACTGTACTGATATACAGGTGGCCTGGCATGCGCCACCAGGCCTGCGGGGACCCCAAGGGCACGGGTGCAGTGTCTGGCTGTAAACATTTCCCAGGCTTCACGGACTCAGCTGAGTTAATGGCCATGTCCTGGGTAATGGAGCCCTAAACTGGAAGGTAGGAGCGGAGACTGAGCTAGAAATTTAGCTTGCCAGACTTCTTTCTGATCTCCATCAAAATCCCCTACAGGATTTTGTGGCTTCTCTGCTTTGGTCTCTTTGTGCCTATGGCTGTGGGGGCCAAGTATGTGCCCAGCCTTGTCTGTCTTGTCCCCAACATGGAGTCACTGCATGAGCAGGATTAGCCCAGTTCACAGTCTAGGTGCCGGGAAACAGACCGTGTGGAATTTCCAGTCTTGGGGAAAGAAAAGTGCAATCAGTAGAATAAAAACTCTGCGGTTTTAGTAGGAGACCATTGTGGTGGGAGCTACTTGGTAGTTACTGTCCTATGTCCTGGGACATGACTGATCCTAGGGTCTTCTACCTCCCACTAAGACACTGCCCCGCATAGCAGGGGCCCTGCCCCCCCCCCCCCCTTGTTGGTACTACAACCAGGGCTGAACCTCTTTGCTTGAACTTTTTCGTTACAGATTTTATTTTTTGGAGCGATTTTAGGTTCACAGAAAAGTTGAGAGACTAATATGGATTTCTGCATCCGATACCACTTACAGTCTCTCCCCACTATAAGCCTTGTAAAATGCACATTCGTTTCCTTATTTGGGTGTGTGGGACTGTTTCATGGCGTGTTTGTGGGGGATAGAGGACAGCTTGCAGGAGTCAGTGCTCTTCTTCTACCAGGCAGAGCGCAGGGCTAACACTCAGGTGTTTAGAGTTCTTTACCTGCCCCTCCCCCACTGTCAAAGTTCCACGTCAGAGCAGTGCCTCGGTTAGTCAAGTGTCCCATTGGTACCACTTGGTTTTCTGTGAGGGCTAGTAAGCCACTGATCCTCTTGGTACAGCATTTCTGTCTCTCTTCCCATTCCTCAGAAAAAGAAGCCCAAGGAACTGACGAATTACAAGAGCTTTTTGGACGAACTGAACTCACAACACAAGAAGAAACAAGGGGTTTTCTCGAAATATCCCCGGGATCCGAAACACCCCACAGAGAGAATTTTCTGGACAACCCTTAGTCAGTGCCCCAAAAATATGGTCAGTGTACCCCATAGCTTGTTTTCTCTCCTGGAAGGCAGCTTTCCAGTAGGCTAGGGAGGTTGAGGGAGGTGGGGTGCAGTGGTCGTGTGTGTGTGTGTATGTGTGTGTGTGTGTGTGTGTGTGTATGGCGGGGGGGGGGGAGAGCTGTGTCTTAGGGACCAGTAGGTGGCCAGTCTGGCCTTGTACTGGTTAGCCACTTTCTGAGCTGAGCTCACTTCACACACCTGGCCTGTTACTGTAGCCCGCACTAGCAGCCATGATCAGGATAATTCCTGTAGAACCCATAGCTGAGTCAGGCCACCAGGAAATCCCAGCCAGTGAGGCTTTCCACCTGCCCTTCCTCCTCTGGCCATACAGATCTGGAGAATGGGTCAAGAAGGCTGAGCAGGAGGGAGTGTGATAGGGTTTATCCTAAAGTTTGCCTACCTGATCTACCCAGGGAGGGACCAGGCTCTGCCTTCCTCAGGGCAGTCATCTCTGGGGGACAGTGACCAGTTCTTTGAGTGTCCCTTGGCTTTTGTCACCACCACCACCCCTGCCTCCCCAGGCAGGGCCTGCCTCAAAGGTCATAGGAAGAAATGAAGTAGGGGAGGCAAAGGGTATGGACAGTCTGACCACCTGTCATCCCTCTCCCAAGGGAGCTTAGGAGGGTCGTCCCTTGCATTTAAAGGGAAACTGGGCCACACAGATTAAAAAGGGTTCACTAGGTCCCCCAGTAGGAACCAGGAGACTCTATATAGGACTCAGCTCTCTGGCTCCAGGGCCAGTATGCCTTAGTCCCAGGCTACACTAATCTGCTCATCTTGAGGGCCCCTGGGAACCTGTAAAGAGGCATCTGGTTGGGGGTACGTAGAGTGGGTGGTATGGGACACGTAGATCTGAGGGGCACTTCACTTCCCTCATCCTTTGACAAAAGGTGCAGTAGTGCTGGACAGGTGAGGTCGGGTGCCATTAGTCTTCAGTTGTCCAGCCTGGGCTGAGATTGCTAGGGTTTCTTCAGTCTTTTCTCTTTATTCCCAGGATATAGCTGGCCCTGGTTCTTGGCTTCCTCATGAGACGGAACAGAAACATGTCAACCGGCCACCATTCCTCTTGGCCTCCAAGCGGTCTGGCCTAAAGGCCTACCAGATGATTTTGGGAACCTGGGTGAGTGGGTCTGGGTTGGAGAAGCATGATCGTTAGTTAGGCAGAGGACTTTCTCCTGCCTCTTTAGACAGCCCTGATCCTTTGTGGCCCTGACATGGATGCTCCTTGGGCCCAAGGCGCTCTCTCTCTCTCTCTCTCTCTCTCTCTCTCTCTCTCCCCCTCTCTTTTTCTCTCTCTTTCATTCACTCATTTTCCTAGGCTCCTGTTTTCTAGGGTCTCCAACTTGAGCAGGCATGGGAGCTTCTTAAAAGCTAGCTGGAGCCGGGCGATGGTGGCGCACACCTTTAATCCCAGCACTTGGGAGGCAGAGGCAGGCGGATTTCTGAGTTCGAGGCCAGCCTGGTCTACAAAGTGAGTTCCAGGACAGCCAGAGCTGCACAGAGAAACCCTGTCTCGAAAAACAAAAACAAAAACAACAACAACAGCAAAAAAAAAAGCTAGCTGGGCCAATGGACCTCACACCAGGGCTTCTGATTCAGTCTGCCTTGGGGAAGGGCTTTTTGGCTTATAATTCCAGGTGATAGTTCATCATTGCAGGGAAGTCAAGGCAGGAACCTGAAGGCCACAGTCAAGAGCAGAGAGGAGTGAACTAACTAGCGCACGTTTGCTCCCTTGTGTCAACCCCTCTTTCTCTGTCCTTACACAGTCCACGACCCAAACATGGCAAAGTGACACCTACATGGGTGAGCCTGCCCACTTCAATTAATGTAAACAAAACAATATACCCCACAGACACGCCCACATGCTGGCCCAATTTAGACAGTTCCTCCTTGAGGTTCTCCTCCTGTGTGGTTTTAGACTATTGACAATTGAAACTGATTATCACAGAGACAACACTTTGAGAATCAAGGAGCTAAGAGGCCCCACTCGCAGCTCTGTCATCTTCTTATCTTCCCTGGGAAACGCTTCTCCCTTCTCTCAGTCTTGGAGCTTCGAGGGCAGAGATGTTAGCCCATTTTCTTCTGCTTGAATGAACAAGTCTTCTGTCCTTTTTCCAGCCCAGCTCTTTTTTATTACCAGGTGTGTGATGACGTCCTTGGTAACGTTCTACCGAAACAGGCTAGTCTCAGCATTGTGAGCACCTGCCTCGACATTATAACCATACACAAACAAACAAGCAACACCAGGAGTCACACAGTCAGCTTACACCTCCTCTACCCCCCTTCCAATACCCCCACCTCCTCCCCCGTTCCCCTGCTGCCACAGGTGCTTTTTGCCTCTAGCAGTCCAGTCCAGGGAAGGTTTGGGCTTGCTGGTTTTTTTAGATTTTTTTCCCTGGTCTTTGACAACCACCCAGGCTTTTCTTCTCTCTGTCTCTGTCTCTCTCTCTCTGTCTCTCTCTCTGTCTCTCTGTCTCTCTCTGTCTCTCTCTCTCTCTGTCTCTCTCTGTCTCTCTCTGTCTCTCTCTGTCTCTCTCTCTCTCTCTCTCTCTCTCTCTCTCTCTTTCTTTTGCCATTGTGAAAAAAATCCTTGACAAAAGTCAGCTGAGAAGAGGAGCAATATTTAGATTCTGGTTCTCAGAGGTTTCAATCCACAGCTAAACTGAACAACCAGCTGGGGCCCGAGACTTTACATATCCCAACCATCTGTAAATCAAACACTTCATGTCCGTAATAGTCTCTCTGAGACACACTTTGCTTGTAACTTACCTGCCTTGGCATTATTATCCTGCTCCTTATCTCAGCCTGTACCCCAACATGTGAGCTCTCAGACATCTCAAGTAAAATGCCAGACGATCATCCTACTGTCACAGGGCCAGTGCCTTGGGTTCATTTCTGTCACTGGGATAAAAAAGTCCTGACACAAAGTAACTTGGAGGAAAAAGTTCATTTTAGCTCATGGTTCCAGATTGCAGTCCACCGTCTCATGGAAGCAAAGATGGCAGAAGTTTAAAACAGCTAGTTCATCGCATGCATGAACAGCTTGTTCTCTCTGCTCTTATCCAATCCAGGACCCAAACCCAGAATGGTACTGGCAGATTGGATTGTCTCACATCAATTAATAAAAAAAAATTAAGACCACCCCACCATGGGCATGCCCAGAGGCCAACTTGATCCAGAAAATCTCTTGTTGAGACTCTCTTTCTAGATAATTCTAGGTTCTGTCAAGTTGACAATTAAAACTAGCTCTCCAACAATACTAACCAACCAGAGCTCCCAGGATCTAAACCATCAGTCTAGGAGCACAAAGGAGGGACTCATGTCTTCAGCTGTATATGTAGGGGAGAATGGCCTTGTTGGCATAGGTGGGAGAGGAGATCCTTGGTCCCATGAAGGCTGGACGCCCCAGTGTGGGGGAATTTGAGGGTGGAGAGGTGGGAGTGGGTGGGTAGGTGGGAGTGGGTGGATGGGTGGGTGGGGCATATCCCCATAGAAGCAGGAGGAGGGGGATGGGACAGGGGGTTTCTGGGTTGGGGGGAAATGGGGTGAGGGGATAATATCTAAAATGTAAATAAAATATCCAATAAAAAAAAACTAGCTCTCAAAGCTAGTCATGCAAAAGCGAAGGGCTATGGTAGGGCCAGTTCCTGAGGCAGGGCAGGAAGACCCCCTGGACATGTCTACTGGACAATAAGCCAGACTCTGATCTTATGAACTCCTTGCCTGTGCTCTGTTGTGACTTTACTATGTCATCTTGAAGAGCTATGTCTTGTCCCTGAGCCTCTCCTGTGGCAAACACATGGGTAGGGTGGCCAGGGCATCCTATAAAGGACCATCTACCAGGTGACTTAGTGGATAGAGATGTACTCTTATAGCTCTGGATGCCAGGAGACTGGAGTCCACACTCCCTAGGAAGCTGATGGTAGAGTCCTTCCTTGCCTCTTTACAGCTTTTGGTGTGGTCAGAGACCCTTGGCTTTGCCAGCTTATGACTGTACCACTCTAACCGCTGCCTCTGCGTATCACCATCTCCCCCCACCAGCACCTTTTCTTGCCAGCACACCAGTCGTATTAGACCAGGGTTTCACCTGCTCTACCCTCATCTCACCCCATTGTATCCATCACAGTTCTCCAGTAAGGGCACAGTGGGAAGCACTGTGTTAGCACTTCAGTACGTTTTTGGGTGGAGTAGGTGACACAATTTGATTCCTAACGGCTGGGGTGTCAGGGGCCCAAAAGAGAGATAGAAATCCTGAGGGCAAGTCTTCACACCATCCTCACTAACCAACCTGATGTCTTTCTTCTCCCTGCAACAGAATCCCGTTGGCGTCGGCCGCTATCTCAACACCACCCTGATGGAGACCATAGACCGAAGGCAGCGATTCCGCTCTCTGTACATGGGCGAACCCAAGCGCTACCTGCAGGACCTAAACCGAGACAGACTCATGCAGTGAGTATGGCTGGAGCTCTCAGAGGGGGCTGAGGGCAGGTAGGATGGCTCTTTGGTGGCCTGGAGAAGAGGCTTGCTTGGTTCCCATGTTAGCTGCTCCACAGAGACCCTGGAGAGCCTCAGTTTAGGTCTTGGATCAGTCTCTTGCTGGCTGTGTGAAGAGAGGCATGCTGCTTTCCTTTGAGCTTCCTGTCCATCAGTCTGTCAGCTGTTAGTGAGTGGATGGCTGAGGAACTGCAAATGGGGTGATCAGTCTAAAAGTAAGGAGGAGAGGGCAAAGGCTACTCGTTCAATCCAGCACCATTCAACTCTAGGTGCCTGCATCTCACAGGACCTCAGGCTTCTGGTGTTGTTCAAGGGTTGGCAAAAGTCATATCAGGACACTGTGAAGCCAAAGCATGAAAATCCCACCACAAACTATGAAGAGGTCATAGATTCAGCTCGTTCATGAGTGTTCTCCTACCTTACTCATTGAGGGAGGGTCTCTCAGTCAAATCCAGAGCTCACCGATATGGATATTCTTGCTGGTGACCTTGCTCTGGGGGATCTCAGGTCTCTATTTCCCTAGATGAGAATTAGAGGTGGGTGGCCACACCCACTCAATATTTACATGGGATTGTGGGGATCCAAACTCTGGTTCTCATGCTGTCCTGGTAAGCAAGCCCTGCAATTGCTGAGCCAACTCTAGTTTTTTGAATGTAATTTTAAGATGGTTTTATTTATATAAAAATAGTCTTGTAGCCTCTTCTTCCTTAATCCTTTATTTGGGAGTTCTTGAGATAGAGCATGGGAAGTAAGAATTTAAATAGATTATACATAGGAAAAGGCCGTTTCCTTCCCCTGCTTTCTCAGTTGGTACAGTCTGGTTGGAAATAACCAAACTAGGATCCGTTTTCCTTGAAGATTTGGAAGGCGTTGTTCCACACATCTGAACTTCAAGCTTGGTTCTAAAGCCTGACGTCACTCTGGCTTGTGCATGTGACCTGCATATTTATTTCTGGAAGCTTCCAGGACCTTCTTTGTCCCTGGTATCTGGGATCTTCATGGTAATGGCCATACTGTAGTCTATTGCGCCCGGCACTTGGAGTGCTTCTGTCATCTGGAAACTCTGGTCCTTCTCCTCTGGGAAAGTTTGATTTTGGGTTTTTGTCTGTGGTAATTTCCCCCACCCCTTTCTTCTGTCCTTTAGACATATGTCAGATGTCTTTGTTTGGCATTCTAGTTTCTTGGGGGTTTGTTGTTGTTTTGACATGCTCACCTGTGTGTAGTGTGTGTGTGTGTGTGTGTGCATGTGAGACTGTATGATACATGTATATATGCAAGTGTGCATACATTTGCAGATGTGAGTCAGGACTGAAGTTGACATCAGTGTGATCTCTTGCCCTACCGAGGCAGGGTCTCTCAGTGGAACCCCGAGCTCTCTGAGCAGCTAGTCTAGCTAGCCAGGTTAGTACAAGGACTCTGCCTTCCACCTCCCATTTCTGCGAGGACTTCCTGGCTTGAATTCTGAGGTTCTGAACCCCTTATACTTGTATAGAAGTACTGCACACATTGAGCCATCTTCCCAGACCCTAGTTTCTTGTGTTCTTTTTTTTTATGTCTGTCTTTTCTGTTCTTTCTGGTAAAATCTCCTTGTTCTGGCTTTCTAGCCCCGATTCTACCGTAATTTTAATCTCTGACATTCCTTCTGTGTTATCCATTGCTCCTTTTTTGTTGTTGATGTAGTACATTCTCTTCACTAAGGATCTGGATTACATTTTGTCCTAAGTGTGTTGTCTCAAGCTCTTCTTAGCTCGTCCTTTTCTTCCCATATTCACTCATATTCAAGACAAAAAACAACACAGGTGCCCTGGGAGTCTAATGGGGGAGGGACTGACTGGATCCACCCTTCACCTGCCATGCTTCCTGGGCACGTTCTGTGTGGTCTGTGCAGAGCAGATGCTGAGATCTGGGGCGGAGACAAGGGACCCCTCCCCCCCCCCAGTCTGTGCTTTACTCTCTGGTCCTCTGATGTCTGTCTGCCTTGACTCCCTGGCTCAGCCCCTGACTGAAACCTTTCCACAAGCTATGCCACTGTCTTCAGTTCAGAAAGAAGGAGGTGAGGAGCCAGTGTGGATAGATCTGATACAGATTTCCATCTCCATTTTCAGTGTTGGTCACGGGCCTGCTGCCTGAGATCCCGGTGCCTGTGGCTCCTGGGTCTTCCTAGGGTCTGTGGCAGAGGCTGGATTCCCTCCTGATTCAGATTTCTCTCTTTGCCTTCACAGCTATGCTGACCCTCCCTCCTCCACTATCCGTTTTCTCAGACACGTTAACCCTCCTCCTCCTCTCCCTCTACTGTTTGCCTATCCTTCAAGGGCTCCTTTACACATCTTCTGGTTCGTCTCAGGTGGGAGCAGAGACAAGTGTACATATCACCTGTACTTTTTCTTTTATTTATTATGCATTTGGTTTTTCAAGCCAGGGTTTCTCCGTGTAGCTCTAGATGCCCTAAACCTCGCTTGTAGTCCAGGCTGGCCTTGAACTCTGATATCCATCTGCTTCCACCTTCTGAGTGCTGGGATCAAAATTGTGTGCCACCACTGCCCAGCTAATTTTTAAAATAAAAAAAATTATTTTATATGTAAGAATGTATTATGTGTTCCGAGTGTATGCCTAGTGCCTGCAGAAGTCAGAAGAGGGCATCAGATTGCTTGGAACTAGAGTTGAGGTTGTTGTGAGCCACCATGTGGATGCTAAGAACTGAACCCAGGTTCTCTGTAAGAGCAGCAAGTGTTCTTATCAGCTAAGCCATTTCTCCATCCTTCACCTGTCATTAAGGTACACTAACACGTTTAGTGTATAAAAGCACTTCTCCCCTTTCTGGCCAAGGTGCTCAGCCTTATTTTACATGTATTGAACCAAAACCAGAGAGGGAAGCAAGGAGATATGTTGCCTGAAGTCACAAGGCTGGTGAGCAGCAGAGCAAGGACTGGAAGCTGGTCCTTCCTCTTCCAGGTGTGTGTGTGTGTGTGTGTGTGTGTGTGTGTGTGTGTACATGCATGTAGGGATGTGAGTGTGAGTGCACATTCATATGCAGCAAGTACCTTCTCCTGCAGACCCATCTCACGGGTTAGTGTTAAACTTCTGACCCTAGCTATGTCTAGGGAGAAAGGCTTTGTGTTCTTTCACTATATACTTAGTTTGTTTCTGAATTGTTTTATTTTTATCAAAACTTTTTTGTGTGTTCTTTTTTCTTTTACTTGTTTTTGTTGTTGTTTTGAGATAAGGTTTCACGAAGCTGTATTTAGCCTGGCAGTGGTGGCACATGCCTTTAATCCCAGCACTTGGGAGACAGGGGCAGGCGATTTCTGAGTTCGAGGCCAGCCTGGTCTACAGAGTGAGTTCCAGGACAGCCAGGACTACACAGAGAAACCCTGTCTCGAAAACCAACAACAACAACAAAAACCTCTGTATGTAGCTGAGGGTGATTTTCAACACCTACCTGGTCCTTCTGCATCTGACTTCCAAGTACTGGAATATAGATTATTTTTATAGCCAAAACCAAACCAACTAACCAAACAAAAAACCACAGAACCCTATAAATACAGCAGGACAAGGATTCTTGAGAGAGATAGAACACAGCTTAAGAGTCCTTTTATTCAGAGCCATCTCTAGCCAGGACTCCTCAGCTTTTCTTCCAATCCTCAGTTTTCCAGTCTGTAAAAGGAGGATAATTTATACCCTACAGGGACATGATGTGAAGCTCAATTAGTGCCTGTGGATGTACTTAAAGGGTCCCTGTGGGTGTCATATCCCTGAGAAGTTTCTCCCTGGGGAGCTTATGTGTTGTTCAGGAAGCCCTGGCTCCTCCTGGGCTCCTGGGACAGGAGGGCTGCCCCCCAGCAGGAGGGAGGCCAAGAGGTGTGGGAGATTCGAAATCCCTAGGCACTTCCATCACATGGTCATTTGTGAAGCTGGCTTCTGTCCTGGCTTCTGCTTTCGGGTGGGTGGAAACGGTCCCTTACCCACCGCAAATGTCATTTTTGCCTTCCTACACTAACCTCCATGTTTTTGCTTTCTGGATGTTTCTGTTAGCAGCAGCATGTGCTTATGTCATGGAAATAGCGCTTTCTCATCCTGGACATGCGTGAAGATGCATTTGTTTGATAGAGTCTCTCTTTTTGCCCAATCTCTTTTGTTCTATGTTTGTTGGTCTCTGTTCTCTGTTGGTGATTTCCCACAGTGTCTACTTAACCCTACCTTGACATGTCTGTCCCTCCAAAAACTCCTCAGGAGGTCCCTCTGTGCTTTCTAATAGTTGATGGTGCCCTAGAGGAGCAAGTATTAGTGTTCTTGTTGGGGCATCTTCTGGTGCTGTTGTCTCTAGAGCTTAGCCCTTGGCCTGGGCCCGACAAAGCTTTTTTGGGCATCTAAGCCTGGCTGCCGAAGCTCTTCCATGTAGGAGAAGGGAAAGAATAATAGTCAATGATTCAATTTCCATTTAATTCAAATTTTACACCATGGTGCTCACTGGGCTACAGAGACAGCTTAGCCATCAGGAGCACTTGCTGCTCTTACCGAGAACCTCGTTTTGGTTCCCACACCCATGGGATCCAACACTCTCTTCTGGACTTTGTGGGCACCAGGCACACAGTACACATACATGTAAGCAAAACTCTCATACACATAAAATAAAAACAAACATTTTTTAAAGAACTACAGAACCAATATGGTGTCCACAGACTGTGCATGGTTGTGCATGCCTATAATCACAACAGTGAGAAGCCTGGGGCAGGAAAACCACCAGTTCCAGGTCATCTTGGGCTACGTAATGAGCTAATTACAACCTAATCGTATTTCAGGACACTGAATGAATGGATGAATGAGTGAATAGATAGATATCTAGGTAGAGTACTCAGCTGGTGTCGCTGTGAGCAGAGAACCCCGGTTTCCAACAATAAATCTCCAATCTTCAGCAAGCTGAGCACCAACATTCATCTCTCTGTGTCCTGAGTGGG